TGGTAAGGGAGGGGGTGGGGGCAGGGGGGAGAAATGAACCAAGCCTTGTATGCACATATGAATAATAAAAGAAAAATGAAAAAAAAAAACAAAACTCAGTGCCTCAAAAAACAAAACAAAAAAACCAAACACTGAAATTGGGAAATAATAAACCCCAACCCCATGGGGTTGTGTGTCACAGTTATTATCATGTCATTCTTACTTTGTGAAACGTGTTTAAATTTAAAATCAGTTAGGTCCTAGAGAGAAAAAAAATGTTGTATTTTTAAAAAAAGAAAAAGAGGCGGGGGGAAGGGGGGAGAAATGACCCAAACATTGTATGCACATATGAATAAAAGAAAAAAATAAGTAAAAAGAAACACTATACTTATAAAGATGGAAATTCAAAGATCCTTTCTAATTCAAGGCTTGCATGGTCTGTAAATGATCACATCATGCTGGGTGTCTCTTCAAATTTAAATTACACTCTGATGAGTCCAGGGTCCCAAGTTCATTGCCAGCAGGGAAGCTGGCCTTGCACAAGTGCATGCAGCAGATGGGCTTCCAGCCCTCGCCAGCTATCTCACTGTGTGCCCTGTTCACAGGGAAGCCAGTGCTCTTAGCTCCCCTGCAAACCATCCTGAGAAATCCTGAAGGCCTATTCCCTGACTGACTGTGGATGTCAGCTTCATCCTTGTTCACAAAGCACCTTATTCACATGTGGAGCATAAGACGTTATAAATGTTTTCACACGGGACATCCATAAAGTTGCAAAACAACTTTTGAAACCCAACTTAATTAAGTAATCACTCAAATTTTTAATCTGTAAAATGTTCAATAGTTTCTGTTCATCATTAGGCTTTTTTTTGTATAAATACCTCTATTTTTCTTATTTCCTCAATCATTTTCAGTGCGCTATGGTATTCTTGCAGAAGCTTGTTGTGTGTTGACTGCAGAATGGCTAACTTGGACCTATTGAAAAAGACAGTAGAAAACAGAATTTTGGGGAAAATATCTTGCCTCCTACTCATCTGAAACTCAAGTAGCAAAACCTTTTCTACCTTTATCATTACACCACCTGCTAGCATTTTCTCATTCTCAAATAAAATTTTCCAAAAGATGGAATGTAAATAATTTTCATAATTTTATTAAGGTAAAATGTTAAATTTTATTCTTTCAAAGAGTCTCTTAGGACTCTCAAATTAAAAAAATCAGAATTTAGTTTCAAATCCCAATTCAATCTGTATTTAAAAAAAAAAAAACAAAAACCAAAATGGGTGCTGGTGGCTCACACTTGTGTCCTAGCTACTTGGGAGGCTAAAATTGGGAGGATCAAGGTTTAAGGCCAGCCCAAACAATAGTTCTTGAGACCACGTTTCCAAAATAACCAGAGCAAAATGGACTGGAAGTGTGGCTCAAGTGGTACAGCACCTGCTTTGCAAGTGCAAAGCCCTGAGTTTAAACTCCAGTTCCACCAGGGCACACTTACTTTTCCTCTTCTGTTTTCGCTTGCTCCATTTTGATTTCTGAATGCATGCTTTCCACTTGGAGCTCCAGCTTCTTGGTATTATAAACAAGCTCTTGCTTCTCATTCAACTCTGATGGGGTGGCAGAATTTTTCCTTTCGAGCGCCTGACACCTAAAAAAGATGACGATTTCATGAGGATGAACAATGCTCTTTCCCTTCTCAGTGGCTTTCACACATCCCAAGCTAAAGAAAAATACAAAGAATTTTGGGAATTAGGAAGGCAAAACAAAACATTTTATTCTCCTTGCTTCTTTACTAGATATGGCCATTAATTCTGATTTTGTATGCCTAAACACAAATTAGTGCAAATCTAAGACATGAAGTAGTGTCTTCTTTGAATAATAATTTAGAGTAATTGTCCTAAGTATTCGTAGCATTATATTTTTGTTATTTAAACACAGACCAAAGTAGTAATTGGCTAAAGATGAATCTCATATAGTCACCCATGGGCCCGTTCTATATTTTATTGATTTATTCCCTTTTATATTTAAAAAAGTTCTTGATAAATGCATTATTTTCACGTTACTGGGGTTTGAACTCAGGGCCTCCCACTTGCTAGGTAGTCGCTTTACCATTTGAGCCACTTCACCTATATTTAAAAAAGTTCTGCAGTCACAAAGACTTGGACTTCTGGCAGATTCACTGACTGGAAAAGGAAGTCCTCTAAGGGTCTGTTAAAGATGAGGACAAGAATTTTAATAGAATGACAGCAAAACAAATAAACAATAGCTACGTGCCAGGCATTAATGTCACGCTCATTAAGTATCTCACTTAACACTCCACATATCATAGACATTGTGACAGCATTGTGACTCAGAGAGGTTAAACAACCCACAAGGTGCCACTGCAGACAAGCTGTACGTGAGCATTTCACATCTAGGCCTGTGTGACCGACATCCTTCACATTAGCTGCTACACAGGACCAGACAACCATAACACTGTAGAGTATTGGTAAGTGTCACTCAGGAAAACATCCACCTGCACATGGGGCTACAAATCTGCTTGCCAGTGAATCCAACAGAATGACTTAGCTTTGCTAAGTTTTGGGAAAAAATTTGTTTGAGTCAGGGTCTCTATATATAGCCCAGGCTGGCCTCAAACTTGTGATCCTCCTGCCTCAGCTTCCCAAGTGCTAGGATTATAGAGATGCACCACCATCTCTATAATCCCAGTTTATAATCGTAGCTTCTTAAATCAAGAGAAACAAGCGAATATAAAATTTTCAATTTATATGTTAGCTTTAACAACTGATTAAAAGAATTGAGAGTTGGGCACTGGTGGCTTACACCTAGTTACTCAGGAGGCAGAGATCAGGGGGATCGAGGTTCAAGTCCAGCCCAAGCAAACAATTCAAGAGACTGCATCTCAAAAATACCCAACATAAAAAAGGAGCTGGTGAAGTGGCTCAAGTGGTAGAGTGCCTGCCTAGCAAACAGGAGGCCCTGAGTTCAAACCCCAGTACTAAAAAAAAAGAATTGATTGAGATGGGTTATATTGAAATAAACCCCACTCAACTTCTTTATGCTCTTTCCAGCTTTCTTTTATGTTTGTACACATCAATGGCAGCTGAAGTCAGTCCCAGGAAATCTGGCTTACAGCGCTGTACAAGTAGCACATAAGCTGGTAGACTCAGCAGAATCAAAGTCCCCCGCCATGGTCCCTAGCCCCTGTGTCACATCCAGAACTTTATGCTCTACATCAATCTGTATACACATTAGCATTTTTGAATTCACATTTTACTTAGGTCTCTTTTTTTTTTTTTTGGTCAGTAGCATAGTAGCAAAATGGAATTTTGTAGCACTGGATATTTTTCAAGGTAGATAAAGTTAACATCTTGCTCTTACTTCTCTTGAAGCCTCTTCTTCATGAGCTCAGCCTCACTGAGTTTCATATGAGCTTCCTGAAGTTCCTTAAACAGGGAGGTTACCTGAAGGTTCAAGGCTTCCACTTCGCTTCCAACCTGCCACACAGAAGTGCCAAATATTCACCTGTGACCATCATCAGAGACTACATGAACCTCTGTGAGATGACGGTCTGAACCAATAGTAGCCAATGGGGAACCAATTCATTTTGACAATTACTACCCCAACTACCTTCTATGAAAGGAAATGTTTTAGGTATAATTCTGTTTCCTAATACAGCACTAACAGATCAGCTTGGATACACTTGTGACAATGAGTTTGTCACTACTAAAATTACCCCTACTCGTGGTTCAGGGAGCACACAGATCAAATATCATGCATGAATATATCTGAATAAATTAGCTAAAATGTCCATTTATATAAACACCATCTTGTAGGCTACTGTGGCTATCATAACTTGCTGGCTTCATTAACTTCCCCTGAGCCTAATTAACTTATAATACAACACCAAATATATATTCAGGAGCCTTTTCCATGCCAACTGTGTCACTCCTACCAGTAGGGGACAGAACCAAGACCTTGCAATTCTGCATGTTTCTGAGTCATATCCTCAAATCATCTCATTATTCCATTTTCATTTAGTACCCTTGTTCACTTAAGGACTTAGGACACAAAATCAGTTATGAAGAGATACGGGAATGGTTTTTATATAATACAGATGGGAACGCATTGCACTATAATTGACATGGAGTAAAATTCAAACCCAGGATAAGGATATGTGAGAGAAATGGAACAGATTAACATGACTGTCATTTCTACAGCAGACAATACACCTCAAGTCCCCCAATCCAGCTGCTATGGCCTCTCGTGTCTATGAGGGTGAGGCGGCATCTTGGAGTCTTATACCCACAGTCTCTGTGACTTTCTCCTCTTCACCCTCTTTCTCTGTGCGCTGCTCTGTCTGTGTCTCAGTCTCAGAATGATCACGTGCTTTCTTTTCAAACTTTGAAATTCTGAAAAATCACAGAAATGTAGAAAAGTTACTTTCTTTTTGGCTTCAAGAAAAATAGCAATTGCAGAAGCACTTGAAAGAACACCATTCAAAACCTGGGTAAAGGGGACTTCAAAATGTTTTTACTTGTCACTATATTGCTATTGGTTTTGCTTTTCATCTTAAGATTGACTAGAATTGATGCAATTTAAGATGAATACACACAGATGTAAAAGGTGGGAATATAAACTGAACACAGTGTTACCCGCCTGTAATCCCAGCATTCAGCAGGTTGAGGCATAAGGATCATGAGTTCTAAGCCAACCTTGGCTACATAATGAGAACCTGTCTCAAAAACAAAACAAGAGATAGAACTAACTCATTGTGAACACTGTTTTCATGTGACTGTACTGTCCACAGGGATTTTTAAAATTTTTTGTGTATGTACAAATGTGGATGTGTGTGAACCCCATAAGAATTCATCAGAGACAGAAAGCCTTTCTCTTTGAGGACCCACATAAGTTTGTAAGTCCCTGAACAAAAGCATATAGCACTGTTCTTACACAGAATCTAAATCACGGGAGAGCTATCCAAAACA